TCTATATTTTACATATGATACATATATATATATATATATATATATATATATATATATATATATATATATATATATATACATAGTAGGCTAATTGTGTTAGCTATATAAAAACAATAGAAGTATGTGGAATGTCCAGATTTGGACAGCTATGTAAACGTGTAAGAGATGCGCTAGTGGCAGATCTGAGCCAATAGTTGATCAGCCGCTGACCTAAGAAAATGAATAAGTGGTGGATAAAGCTGAGGTGGAAAGCCAGGAAATTGAGAGAGTCTTTCCTCCTGCCCCAGCATGTGATTGTTGAGCATGTGTGTTGGTTGACTGTAGTGAGAGCCTATGCCTCGAGTTTGTGTTACTAAGTACTTCTTTTGTTAACCAATCTAACCTGTTTATAATTTGACTCTGTTGAACTATATACTGTTCAAATTCCTTTGTTGTTGCCCGTATTTAATTGTGGAAGCCTTACAGAGATGGACGCCATTTTCTTTTGCTAATCGTGTTTTCACCTGTTTTTAGTTAGTTAGGGAGTGAGGTAAGAGTTATGTTGTTTATATTTGTTTTTATTATTATTATTATTATTATTATTTAATTCAGGTAAGTTAGTTTGATCCTCCCAACATTTAGACTTCTTTTGCTTGTTGTTTTGGCCTGGTCCCTTCTTGAAGTTTCTTGCTTCCCCCCCTTAAACCAGAGTCAATAAAAAAAACAATTGTATTTAAAATTCGTGTGGTGATTGCTGGCTGGGACAGGAGTGATGACCTCCAAAAAAAATTTTTTTCACCTTTTCTCCAACCCCTAGACAAAAAAAATGTAACAAATGTAACAACTGTGCAGTAATTTCATCACGTACTGTTGTTCAGAGGGCAATCAAAGCAAAACATAAAACTTACAGAGGCTACACAAGTGCTATCGAAGAGCATTCAAATGTGGATTGACAGAATGAGATAAATACGAATATAATATACATAAATGCGAATATCTAACTAAATATTGCAACTACAAGTAATTTCGTAATCGAACTTGTGTACGCACTTATGAAAATCTGGCTCCGTATAGATGTAACTAGTTCACGTATTTCTGTAAAAAGAAATACACATCTTTCTTTGCTGTCATTCCATGATGATTCTACAAAAATGCGTTAAATTAAAGCAATCCAATTGTGTGTTTGAGTCATAGCTTAGGCTACTCAAGAATTCAAATGAAGTGCAACTAACATGCTTATGTAGCTTAGTCCTACTAACATAAAGTTATACTATCTTAATCTTCCATTTTATTAATAAAAACGAATTCTGCGTTTACAGTGATTTACTCTAGGCCAGCATTCTTTCTATACTTAAAGATGAACAACTCTTTTTCTCTCTCTCTCCTCCACATTAATTTGAAAGCCATTTTGAGTAGCGGCACCGTCTTTATTAATGTTTGAAAAGCTGCAGGGCATCTGCATTCGTTACGTTCATTCTCCATGTCTGCATCTGTCTTTTTAAAAGGGAATGGAAGGGATAAAAGTTTACTTACACGAGCGAGAGTTGTGGACAAAGTTTCATGAAGTGGGAACTGAAATGATCATCACCAAAGCAGGGAGGTAAGACACAAATGTTTACAAATGTTTCGAAAATGCATTGCATATGTAGTTTTCGGATAACCTAGGCTATATAAAAATAAAAAATGCACACAAAGCACAATTGCGAATTTATCATTACAATCGTTATAATACTAATTCGCCTATTATTATTATTAATAATACTAATAATACTAATTGAACAATATTCATTATAAATGAGTCCATTATTTTATATATTCTTCCTACTGCAATGGACATATATAGATTTTAATATACTTTTTCCATTTTGATTTTTAACGGCACAATGTGGTTTGCTTGGTGCTATATAGATTAGCATAAAAGTTGCGTTAAATTAAAGCAATCCAATTGTGTGTTTGAGTCATAGCTTAGGCTACTCAAGAATTCAAATGAAGTGCAACTAACATGCTTATGTAGCTTAGTCCTACTAACATAAAGTTATACTATCTTAATCTTCCATTTTATTAATAAAAACGAATTCTGCGTTTACAGTGATTTACTCTAGGCCAGCATTCTTTCTATACTTAAAGATGAACAACTCTTTTTCTCTCTCTCTCCTCCACATGAATTTGAAAGCCATTTTGAGTAGCGGCACCGTCTTTATTAATGTTTGAAAAGCTGCAGTGCATCTGCATTCGTAAATAATGGACTCATTTATAATGAATATAATTCGCCTATTATTATTATTATTAATAATAATAATACTAATTGAACAATATTCATTATAAATGAGTCCATTATTTTATATATTCTTCCTACTGCAATGGACATATATAGATTTTAATATACTTTTTCCATTTTGATTTTTAACGGCACAATGTGGTTTGCTTGGTGCTATATAGATTAGCATAAAAGTCAGGTTTCTACACAGCTCTAATAGTGATTTGTTTAGATGTATTTCAACATTTTAACTTTGTATTATATAAGTATTATTTATACTACTTTGTATTTGTTTTTTTATTATTAAGAATGTATTTTGAAAGTTTGAGATTACAACATTTTGCATTGTTAGCAGTGAGCTAATTCCAGTAAATCAGTAAGCATTAGTTTGACCCCATGATTTAAGAGTTTTTATGCGTATTATTACTGAAGCTGGAAATATTCATCATTTGGATTCTCGATGCAGATTTTTCCAATATTGTTACAGTTATGCACCAAACGTAGATCTCACTTTAAAACTTTAAGAACATTTGTTTACAATATTATCATCGCATACTAACAGCATTGTCTCTGAAATGTACAATTAACGGGATTTGCTAGTCTGTTTTAAGGTTACTAATTGTTTATAAGATAGCAGCAGTCTGGTGGTTTATATCTGCGGCATTGTTATTATTCTCTTTTAGCGGAGAAGTGTTAAAATATATTGAACACTGAAGTTAGTATTTCAGCAAGCGTGTAGTCCTCTTTCATTAACAATCAGATGCGGGTTAAAAAATGAAATCAGTGGGCATGAACTCCTCACTGCGACTTTGCTGTTGCTTGACATTAGGCTCAGTGTGAGAGGATAAAAAGATCGAGAAATACCGAGATCATCGCTGGAAATTATTTTGATGTTTAACGTTATAAATGCCTAAATGAGTCCGTATGCCTGATAGCAAATTGTCTTGCAGTTATTGTCATTTATTATTCAGTCACATCGCGGCGGCTTTCAAAAACTGATTTTCTCTCTGAACACAGCGGGACAAGGTGGCTTTTGTACTAATATCGTTTCCTCGTCGGTTTAGTGAAAAAACGTATTCTCTACCTTATAGTCTGGAGTAAAAACTCTTGACAAAATCGCCACAAACCTGAACAGGCAACTCGACCGTTCAACATAACTGATTTTGTGGAGTGTCAAAAAATCGTCTCCATGAGCACTTCAGAATAAATATTATACGCTGGTTTAAAATGATCGATTTAGGCTATATGTATTTTAAATGAATATAATATGTTTTCTCCTGTAACAAATCTACACTGAAGTTGACAAATAAAAGTCTAGTAGTAGTAGTAGTAGTAGTAGCCTATGTCATCATAATTAAATAAAAGCTTAAACACATCTTGTAGGCAATCCGTGCTGCAATATTTTTCCCATTTTTATCCACAGGCGGATGTTCCCAAGCTTCAAAGTGAAGGTCACCGTGTTGAACCCAAAAACCAAATACATTCTGCTGATGGATGTTGTGCCAGCGGACGACCACCGCTATAAATTCGCCGATAACAAATGGTTCGTGAGTCAATTGTTTTATGAAGAGTCAAAGTTACTGATGCAGGTTATTTATTTGCTCATTTTATTTCTGACATTACTTCTTTTTTCACTGAAGTAGATGGCTTCTGGAAGATTTTCAAAGACTTCAAAAGTTTGAAGTTTTCAATTGTCCATCTTAGCCAACTTCTAGTACTAAAGAGAACCTTCTCAAATGTTCCTGACAAGACCTGTCAGAATATCAAGCTGGTGCAACACATATTAGTCAAATAAATAAATTAGGCTCGTTCATTCTCATTATTAATCCTTAAAGATTATAGGTGCAGTGCTGAGGGACACAGCCTAATTAAAGAAGGCAGTGTGGCCATTAAAATATTCCTTAATGGTAACACAAATTAGTTTTTACATTTCAGTTGAAACTATTTAAACTTTAAAATGCATACATTAAGGATGAGAAAAAATAACCTTTGCATTGCTGTACAGACAATTCCATCTGCTGCACAGAACTGCTACTTGTTTTATATTCCTTTTTAGGGTCAGTGGTTTTAAATTGTTGAGGTTATTGAGGGAGGATGTCCACAAGCCAATATCCCTGATAATTACCCATTCAGTGCAAGCTCATGGAACTAATGGCCCTCTTGATCAACCATCATCTTAGCCATTAACCAAATAAACCGGACTTTGAAAGACATTATGTACAATACATGATATGTACAGTGATGCATGATAATGGGAGGTAGTAGGCTGGATCGCATTTCAATTGCAATAAAGGAAACATGTTGAGGGAACAAAACATCTTTTAGTTTTAATGAAATGATCCTTGTAATAATTAATGCATGGACAAATAAACAGAATCTCAAATCTGTCACAGTGACTTCCCTAATACAGCAGAGAGTAATATCAATGATCACATGACAGATAACTAAGTAAGATAAAAGTAATATAAAATATTTAATGTATTATAGACTACAGTGTTGAGGGAAGTCAATGTGTATTTACAGTGAAGCAAATGTATGTATAAATAAAGACAAAATTGTGTTTAAAATGCTGTTTTTTGCACTACGAATCAGGTCTGTGACAGGGAAAGCAGAACCTGCGATGCCGGGAAGGCTGTACGTCCATCCAGATTCTCCAGCCACTGGAGCGCACTGGATGCGGCAACTGGTGTCTTTCCAGAAGCTTAAATTAACAAACAACCACCTTGATCCCTTTGGACATGTGAGTGAATAACTGATTCATGGATTTGCTTTGAAACTTTTTGCTTGAATAAACAAATATATTACTTACAAAATTATCACATTTTGGATTGTAGCTATTTGAAATCAGCACACAAAAAAAACTGAAATGACAGCAGAGAAAGAGGATTTGAGATTTTAAAGAGACACACATGTCGATCTGATCAGGTAGTGTTGTGGATGAATTGTATCCAAGGATCTAGATCAGGAAATCCACCCCTGAAGAGGTGCTACTGACAAAAACCAGAATAGTGTAATAACCAAAACACATCTTAAATCCGGTAATGATAATTGTGACAACAGAAACACGGGCAGACAGCCTCAGATGTGGAAACACTAAATTCAGATTATAAATTTACTCTCTATAAACTGGGTTTAAAGAAATTTAATTCTTCAGGAACCAGAGATTTTAATATGTGTAGCATCCACTTTCAGCATAATGCACAGTAAACTAATATAGAGGAGTTTTTTGCTGTTGGTGAAAGAAAGACCAGCCCGAGCTCAGCAGTTTCAATTCAAAAGTTGCTCAGCTCAAAGTTTTAATAAAGCATGAGGTTCAACATTTCTCAGATTTCTGGACAAGCCAGATCACCTTAAGAGTGAGATTAGGAAAAGAAGCATTGTGTCTGTATCTGAACAGATGGTGCTTAGATGTCTCATATGCATATCTGTGACTGCAAGCAGTTTGCTGTTTAGTTCGGATCACAAGGTTGAAGTCGATCAGGCTTGTTTTCCTGCCAAACCTCAGCTGGTAGAATGAAATCGGAGCCCAGCTGGAATGTGAGCCGAGTTGTAAATTTCTGTCCAGAATGCATTTTTGATTGGTTGCAGTGGTTCTTGGCATGCCCCCTTTTGTGCTGAAAGAGTGCCCTGGGATTTATAAATGAAGTACGGCTTCTCAACCAAAATAACAATCTATCGGTTTGTTGTTCCAGGTGGTTGAAATAATTTCAGACCTATTTATAATTACTAGTCTCAGAAACAGGGCTGAACATGCAATAAGCTGGAACATGTTAGGCAATACATGAAACAAACCAATAGTTCAGAACTCTGTCTTAATTAGACTCCAGTGATGAGATAAAAATGTCTGAAAGAAACTTAGAATAATTCCCATGTGGATAACTTACAAAGCATGCACACAGTAAAAGCAATAGTTAACTTGCGAGGATGAGAACACAGTTTGAATTTTCCAAATTAAAGATGTTTTTAGATGGAAGCAAACTACAGTTTTGGCTTTGATCATTTACCATTCATCAAGCATTCATAGGCCTACACATTCTTTGCCTCTTGCAGCCGTCCAGAAATATCAAAATGGTGGAGTTTGGATAACTGTGCTTCAAACTGTTTATATTTAATGACAGAGTGTGATGAGTGATGGACAGAGGTATACAAAGGCTGTTAATTTGCAGTGTTTCAGAGTCCCTGTGATGTTGGCAACATGAAAGAGTGGGGCAACATTCATGGCCCTCAGTGATCGCTCACTATCATTAAAAACTATCATACAGCGTAGGGGCAAATGGAGAAATGGGACAACAGGGAACCCCCAGAACAGACAAATGCTGCACTCCCAGTGGGTGGTCCCACAAAAAAACTTTTCTCATGTCCAGTTCTCCAAATATTCTTATGTCTCACTCAGCTTTTCGCCAAAACTGTGTGTTTGCAATTCTTGTTTAATCCAAGTTGGTCTACAGTGTGCATGGCTGCATGCCTGATGATTCAGAAAACTGTGAATTATTTCATTTCGACATCACAGATATTAAAGCAATGCATTTTGTATTTTACCTTCAGCAATAACTCATCTTGTTATTGCAATATTCTCACAATATTCTCCACTGAGAGCAATGGTAAAAGTTCACAGCGAGCCCTGCTTTCCAAGTCTCAGTGCTGTGTTGAGCCAAGAGCTGCTTGGAGGGAGTGGACCGATGCCACTGATCAAAGGAGAAACACTGCAGTTGTTTGGAGAATGCATGCGAGGGGAAAAGCATGGAAATGGAAAATAGGAATGCATGTGTGTGTGTAAACTTGGCATGCTCATCCAGAATGCAAAGTTTAGACAAAATCCACTTAGAGTAGCCAACATTACACACACATTTGACTTGGAGGATAGAAACAACCCACAAAGCTGACAAGAACTTGGACAAAAGTAATTTGAATAATATTCTTCTTAAAATCCATACTCAAGACAAGTGACCACTGCAAAACAGCTACTACAGATGGACATTTTTCAGCACTCCTGTAAAACTTCTGTTTGGTAGACAGATGTAGCGTTTGAGTCTCGTTTGAACAGTAAATAGCATTTGGCAGGAGGTTTTAGAAATGGACAAAACCATTTTGCATGTATTAAAAACATGCAAAAGGAGAAAAAAGGGGACATTGCTTAGCAAAGTGTCTCTAGAAATCCGAGACTACAATTAGGCTTGTCCACGGAAAGCAGGTCTCAAGTTTAAGTGCGGACAGACGGACCGCAATAGCGCTAATTATTGATCTCAAAGCGGTACGGAGGAGGTCATATTTATATAAAATGTATTACTATTAATATAGTAGGCTATATTAGCCTACTGTCTGTAATCGAAAAGATCAGCTGAATAATGCGCACGCGGATGCGAGATGTTTGCTTTACCAGGTCGGTCATGTTTGCGCTCTATTTTCTCTTCAGATTATCCTGAATTCCATGCATAAATATCAACCGAGGATCCACATCGTAAAGGCAGATGAAAATAACGGATTTGGATCCAAAAACACCGCTTTCTGCACTCATGTGTTCCCAGAAACGGCTTTCATTGCAGTCACATCTTACCAAAACCATAAGGTAAGACGGGATAAAATGAGTGACGAGAATTTTAGGTTATCGTGTTTTGATCATTTTTAACATTATAAATATGAAGTAAAAAAAATTTATTCGAATTTGTTAATCTACGAAATTATAGAATTAGCATAGGCTTATCTGTTTTAGGAAAGTCACACAAATTCGACTTATAATTCCTGGTTGATAGAATGATTCCAATTCAAGTAGTCGTAAGACCATGACAACAGCTGGATTTCATAGCCTTTTAGGGACTCTGGCAGATTTGCAGAAGAAGAAAAATATTTGTGTAGCAAGCAAAAATATTGTTGCTAATTGTAACTGTTGATTCCTCTGATACGAATTTATAATATTCATTAATGTAACGAGTATTTATAAATCTATTTATTTACCTTACCTGTTGATTTTTCCTCTCTGAATTCAAGAAAAGGTATCAGTTCATAAGCCGGTTAAGTGATTTTCTTGAAAGCATAGCTCGTCTTGCATATTGAAAGTCTGGCTGTATTACAGTTAATAATGCAACGCGTTTATTGTTATGCACACAGATCAGCGAGAATTACTATCACATATTTTACTTAGAAAAAAAAAGAAGAATAAAAGATGTCCGAAATGTTTAAATGGCTAAGCACTATGAAAACGAAATGTTACACTAATCATGATTTATTATTTAGTCAGCTGTTATATTTCTCAGAATATTCAAATTTCGAAAATTGGTTAATAGTCTAGTTCCAACCATGATATTTCTACCTCGTCTTTCTAAGCTAGTTGATTGAACATGATATAGGCCTAGGCTAAGTGTGTGTGTGGGGGGGGGAGGGGGGGGTCGTTTGTAATAATAACTAAATACAGAGATAAATGACTGTACACCCAAACAATATGCACAGTGTGTCCTTAATAAATGATTACATTAATTGTCATAGGCATGTCTGTGTTTTTGTCACACTTGTTGCACTTTTGGATGGACAGTTGTTAATGTTAATTTTGTGCAGTTAAAAACTCGTTTTTCGCTGTAGTCAAATAGTCCAAATAGTTGATAGTGGGTATCATATTTGCAAATAAGTATAGGCTATGATAAAGATGGACACTTCGTATCGGGTGAGTCTAACACGCATATGGATAATGGTTTGTGTAATAATTGATTCGACTGGTGTGAGAAAGAATCGAACTGCGCACATTTAGCAGACTTTATTTTAGACCAATTTTGTTTACCAGTATGTATTCATTGGAGTAAAACACCGGGACGGCCAAAGGTCTGTTTGTTTGACGTCTCTAGAAGGCTTTTCGACGCTTTTTTAAGAGACCGCCGAGATGAAGTGCATACTTTGTAGTTTTTTCGCACTTGATTTTAATACAAAAAGAAAAATGGTGGTTTTTAATTAACGGACAGGAGGAAGTCTATTAATTATTTACACTGCTTGGTTTTTAAATTTTTTCACCACTTATTTCTCTTACTTATAACCAATCAGGTTACCTTTATCTCATCACGAGCAACATTTCACTAGTTACATATGAGCATATGACACACATTCTTCCTATATATATATATACACACACACACACACACACACACACAATTTCTCATATATATAAAACCTGCTGCTGTCACGCACGGCTCTTTTTTCCAAGTTTCAATAAAACCGCACTTCAGTTAATTAAATTGATCAGTGAAAAAACTGAGAAATAAAGTGAATAAAAATAAGAAGATAAGAGATATAAACTGAATAAATATAAAGACGAAAACAACAGGTAACTGTAGTGAACAACAACTTGAAATAATTCGCATCTACCAAAGCGCGGCCAATTCAGGTCAACCTTCGAAAAATACATTATTACAGACAATATTTTGAAAAATTTCAGTTTGCACTTTTAAAAGGAGCATCAAAATTGTCATATACAAAAGTATATGTACAAAAGTCATATACAAAAGTTTTGTGAAGTCTGCCAAGCACATAGTGCGTTCATGAGAGGTGAAAGGTGCGTCCCAACATGTCTTTTTTTTTTTTACAAGGTGAGAGCCAAAGTAATGTCAAAGATACGGTGACCGAGAAGTGCAAAACAAATCACAAGTCTAAAAAACTAAATAACAATTCAGAAAGCACAACAACAATTCAGAAAACATTATAACAAGTCTGAAAACACAATGACAAATCCGAAAACAAATGAACAAGTCAGAAAACACAAGGACAAAACAGACAAACCGGAAGAGATAGGTATAGTTTGAGACAGCGCCATTGGTTTGGGATTACTCACCGCTGACTGGACGAGACATCTGTCAATCAACGTATACAGGAAGAACCAGCCGAAGAACAGCAGAGTTGTGGTAGAAAGTTCTGAGATGGTATTAAAGTAGCTCAGTTTAAATGCATTGTATGAATTGCCCTTACTATGGAATAAAAAATACGGAGTGTATATTTACATTTAGTTAAAAGTGACTATAAAACATCAGCGCCAGTGGTGCAGATGGATAAGCCTTGGCTTTTTGACGCAATCGACCCGGGTTCGATCCTGCCTTTTGCCGAACTTTTTTTTTCTCTCTTTTCAAATCTCGTATCACATCGTAAAGGCATTTATTTTCAATAAAAATGAAGGAAATAATCAAAAAGTTGAAAATAAAGTATCGGGTAGGGTTAGGGTAGGTGTAGAGAGGGCTTTATTGTACCAATAAGGTGGCATCCATTTAATAATTAAAATTAAAATTATAATTTACAGTCAATACTTTATTATTGCATACTGTTTTATAATGTGCTACAATACTGAAGTGCAGATAAGTACGATTCTCCTACTGAATCGTTTACACGGCACTGCTATTAGCATGACTTCATGCATTCAGCAGAAGCTTAATCCAAGGTGGTGTACAAGCAAGGAACCACTATTCGTTAAAAAGAAAAGAGTAATGCATCATAAAACTACAGAAAGAATAAAGAAACTCCACCATGGTGCTCTGTAGAAGTCAAAGGTCCTGATATCCTATCTGTCCTCCACTGTCAAACACTGAAACCTCAGTGTTTGAGCAGGACAGGAACATGAGACATGCATTTGCGTGATACTGACTGTATATCAGGGACAAAGAACTTTTCCCTTTCAATGCAAAGACAAATGCACAAGGTTGCCAACAGATTTATTGACAAACCTTTTATTAAAAAAAGAAAAGGATGACAAAATAATTAAAGAAACCAATCCAGTTTTATAGTACTTTTTCATTTCATTATTTGAGTTGTTTTTGACTTTGTACTTTGAAGGTATGAGGCAATATGTTATAGAACAAATGTTTGGGATTTTATGCTTGATGGTTTCTTTAAACCTGTATGGGAATCTGGTCAGTGAGCACCATTTGTCTCTCAAATCACAGCAGATTATGTGCTGATTTTTAGCTAGTCAAGACTAACGCATTTTGGTGGTGCAGATTTTTTTCAGGGATGTATTACAAGTTTTTTCCACTTAAATCAGTGTTCACAAATTATGTATGCATCTTTATGTCTCTGAATTACCAGTAGGTCCATGATACAAAAAGTCAGTAAAAATAATTGGATAAATGATCACTTTTTTACAAAAATGTTAGCAGGAAATTGTGTGGCACAGCACACAATACAAATTAACAGTAAAACAGATTGATAGTTTAATAGTACTTATAAGCTAGTTATCATGGCCACACTGGCCCCAGTATCTCTGTTTGTACACGGATGAGTAACATCTTTCTCGAAGCACCAATCACAGAGTTAATAACTCAAAAATGCTATTGAGTTATTCTAGAACATCTGAGATACAATATCGCATCAAACTTTGGTAAGCAGATCTTTATTTTTGGACACTTGTAATAAGCAGATGTTTCCTGTTGATAGTATTTATTTTTCTTGTATTTTAAAACTTTGTTACTTTACCTTAAAGGCCATTTGCTAGGTTGACTTTTTTCATTACTTTGACTTTGGTAGTCAAACTTTCTTTTTAGGTAAGAGAGAGAGAGAGAGGGAAAATGCAGAAAAACAATCAGTCTGCTTTATAATTTTGAATGCCTACAAATAACTGTCAAAAACATACAAACATGAATTGCTGTACATACAACAAAATGTACATAGAAAACAGAATAAATGTAAAATATTCTTTCTTGAATTCTGAGTGTATTTAATGCAACTCTACTGATTGTGGTATAAATCCATGCCATTATACAATGCCATACCATAAGCCTGTTAACGCTTAACTCCATGAATAACCTCAATGGATTTGAGGAATTAATTTTCAGACCTGGTGGAGCTGAAGATTGCTGGAGTGATAGAAGACCATTTAAATAACTGACAATTAAAAAAAAAACTAATCCTAACCTTAACTATTACATCAAAACAAACATTATAGTGTTATCCTAGAAGTTAAAGCACATCCATTCAACTACAACAATCTTTTTCACTGTTGAAGCATCTATTTGGTTGAGGAATGTCTTGTATTTTTTATCAGATATTAATGATGGTCTTGACAAATTAGCAGTTGTATAGAAAATCCTTTGGATTAAAGGGGGTTTAACCAACAATTACATCCCCTGCACTGAAGCCTATCTCTAAATCTTCAACATGTCACCCTTAAGAAAACAGTCCATTCTGAGCCAAAATGGAGTTAACCATTGACCTCTAGTGGAAGCACATCCATTCAACTACAACAATCTTTTTCACTGTTGAAGCATCTATTTGGTTGAGGAATGTCTTGTATTTTTGATCAGATATTAATGATGGTCTTGACAAATTAGCAGTTGTATAGAAAATCCTTTGGATTAAAGGGGGTTTAACCAACAATTACATCCCCTGCACTGAGGCCTATCTCTAAATCTTCAACATGTCACCCTTAAGAAAACAGTCCATTCTGAGCCAAAATGGAGTTAACCATTGACCTCTAGTGGCAGTCAGTGGATCACTGAACTGGTAAATGTACAAAAAAAAAAAAACTGGAAAAGCTGATGAAAAAACTCTTCATCTGAAAAATGACACACGCATGCATTCAGGGCAAAAAGACAAATGTGTGCTTGTTTTGATTTTATAAAACAGTAGGATTAGTCTAAACATTATAGAGTGTAATAATGGGGGAAAAACATTATTTGGGAAGGAAAGATCTGCCTCAATCATACCAACAATCCTACACAAGTTTTTTTTTTTTTTTAGCTAGAAGAAAAACATTGATTCCACTCAAATCAAGCGCTAGATTTCCAGTAACACTTTACAGTAAGGTTCTATATGTTAACATTAGTTAACCACATTAATTAACATGAACTAATAATGAACAATACGTCTACAGCATTTATTAATATAGTCAATGTTAATTTCAAGATTTACAAATAAAATTGCATTAAATACAATATAAATCAACATTGTATTTTTTAACATTAATGTACAGTGAACTAACATGAACAAATGATCAACAATTATAGTTTTACTAACATTACCAAAGATCAATAAATACTTAAAAAAATGTATTGCTCATTGTTAGTTCATGTTAGCTAATGCATTAACTAATGTATTCCCAGTTTTTCTTTTGTCCATAGTGATTCAGGAATTCCAAACAATGACCGTGCATACATGAAGTTTATAGGTGAGTAATGTACAGAATCGCAACTCTCACAACTGTTTATTAGTGTTTTTCAGTCGCTTGCCTCTCTCTCGTTCTGGACAGGTCTTTGGCCGAAACCGGTGACCTTCCCTGCAGACACCTTTGATCTGACTGATGGGGCCTCTCTGGACAACCTGCTCCTACGCATCCAGTCTTATCCCTCGCCGGGACCCCGAGCAACCCCCAACCAGCCGGAGAAATTCATTAACCCTGTAGCCTCCCTGCCTCGTCCCTACTGCTTAATGGCTGATTTATGAGCGTGCCCCCCCACGCATCTTCCGATCACCCAAACATGCATGTGTGACTCAAGATGGATTATACCAGAGGTTTTTGAAAAATGTTTTAAGACAGGCTATGTTTTTCAAAGGCAGGTTCACTGGACTAGCCGTCAGGGTTTAAGTGGTGAGGGTTAGAGCCATTAATTATGTGATGAGCCTTTGTAGACTTTAATAATCCTAGCGAAGAGAATTAAGCGTTATAAAGAACAGGAGGGAAGAAATGCCAATGTATTATTGATAGACTGACATGAAAAAAAAATTGGCTTATATTTGATAATTTGAAGTTAATGATTAAAAGCTTATTAGCTTTTGTTAGTTCTATCAACAGCCTAATCAACAGGGCTGTTCTGTATAGGTCAATCACCTTTATTTTTACAGCGCTTTATGCAGTACAGATTGTGTTAAAACAGCTTCACAGTGGTAAACAGGAAAATAACAGAATTATGGAAACTTAAGAGTTGCATGATCAATCATATTTCAATCATGATCATGATTTATGCTTCTCTCGATTTATTAAGCATAATCCTCTGAAATATTTGCCTTCCAGTTATTTATCCTGAAAACGTTTCATTTTCATTTGCCGTTTGTGTTATTTTGTATATAGGTGTGTATATATGTAGAGATAATTGGTACTGGAGTTCTACAGTAATGATGATGATGTTCACATAAATGTTCTGAACTGTAAAGGGGGCCAGCAAACCAAAGATTTACCAAAAAAAAAAAAAAAAGATATAGAGGGAAGTTGGAGTAATGATAAACTATGGCCCTACTCAGCCCAGAATCTGAAAAGAAAACAAATCATTGTCAGAGGCCTGAATGAGCAAAGAGAAATAGAAAGAACAAGAGCATTCCAAAGGGGAGAAAAACGAGAGGGGGATTACTTTATTAAGATGTAGTGAAATGCGGCTGACTCGTGACGGATGACTAGTTCAAAAAGTAAGGGTCCGAGAGGCAAATCTGCCTGCCACAGGAGTCCCACAGCGGCTTTGAAACGTTTGCCTGGGCCAATCTGTAGCAGTCAAAGCCCTGTCATTAGAAACACTGAGAGTCTGACTCCTCGACGGCAGTGTCGGATCTGCAGCAAGTCTTTCTGGAGCTCCACGATGACGCAACATAGCATTTGGAGAATTCTTCGATTATTTCGTGATTTTGTATCTCTTTCTTTTGTTAGTGAGCACATCGAAGCTGAAGCCGAAAACTGGGTCACAGAGAAAGCAAATGAAGTCAAGCCTTCATCAGATAGCACGTTTTCTGGTTCATGTAAAGACGTCTGGTGTATCAGCAGAGACATGCATCACCCTGTTGACGTATTGCATCTGTGCTGAATGCTGGATTTGCAGCCTGGAGGCTTTCAGCACCCAGACCAGGTCTGGAGAGAAAGGAACTGGAGTGTTGAGAGAGTAAAAAACAGTGCGAAGGCCAAAAGATATCAGACCGCTGTCTCACATGAGGCCCTACATGAATCCAAAACAAGACTTAAATGCGAGTTTAAAGGATAAAGGGCTGTTCACACTAATAATGATAACTATAACAATAACTATACTAGAATCCACATAGTGTTATTTTTATTCCAATTGCTATAAATGCTTGAGCTCTTTAAAGTCTGATGTATTCTGATTAGATGTTAATGTTTTTATCATTCATCAGCTGAAAGTGATCCCACATTTTTCGATTACTACAAAGACATCTCAAACAATAGAGGAGGACTTCTACATAATATCATCAGGTCCTGATAAAGATGAGAATTTATTGCGCTCAGGCTTTCATCCTTACTTCCACAATCACAATGAAGTAACAGAGTCTATCGATCAAGACTTCCATCCTGGATGCTCTCACCAAGTCCAATGATTTATTAGGACAGCCTTGTGAGACTGATGAACAGTCATGGCATGGTTAAAATCATAGGCCCAGAGATAACCAGGGGTAAAATCATGGCATTGATGTAAAATGCATTCATATCAGATCGTAATGCATGTCAGAACATGTCCATCTGTCCTTGTCATGTGAAGGCTGGATTGTCCAGTGGGGGTTTGGGAGCCTAATCTGAAACTAGGACTGGAAAATAACTTCCAGCTGTCTAATCATTAGGACTGATAAGGCACCCAATTCCCTTCACCTACAGCCTGTCTGTGGGAAAAGGTAAGAGTCCCACTGGATGGTCTGGTCCACCCAGCTGCAGCTCCCTCGCCTGCATTTTTTCTCCATATGGAAAATATTGAGTTTTGTGGAGAGCGGGTGTGTATTATGCAGAGGGCCTGTGCCATCTCAGGGTCTGTCTTTCTCATTATTTGTTGACAGCATTTAAATGTGTCTGTCAAGCTAAAAACCTTCAAAGGATTGATCTCACTTAATGCCCTACCTTAAGACTCATACTAAACAGTAGTATGATCACTTTTGATTCTGTCTGAGCCATTGGTAATTAATGAAAGGCCAAACTGAACACAAGGACTTACTACACTGAAGCACCTGAAGTGCTGGTCTTTCTTTTAGACTGTCTCTGTGTTGTGAGTCCATTCTGGTCTGTCAGTGAAAAACCCAAGGTACTTCTAAAAATGATCTCCATGTCACAGACATTGACAACACACTTGTTTCAAAGTTTCTAGTGAGTCTGAAGACCTTGATTACTTTGGTTCAGGTGTGTTTAATTAGGGTTGTAGCTATAAACAGTAGGACTTTGGCCCTTGAGGAGCAGGACGGGACATGATTCATAAAGATGCCATAAAGATTGCATTTAAATCAAATCACCATAATACATTTTCATGTTGATCACATTTATGTTAAACCTTTATAGGAGATATAGGGGTCATGAATGGAGAAATCAAATTATCTTCTGACATATAAGAGGTCATTGTACTATAAAGGTGAGCGTGATTTTACCAAGTACAACATGTTCCTGGATCAACATCCTTGTTTATCCTGGAACATCATTCCAATCAACCAATCAGAATTGAGAGATAACTTTTCAGGAAATGTCAGTTTTAGGCTTACAATCAGGATAAGGCACTTCTACACCCTTGTTAATCAGCTATCATTTCCATCTGATTTTAGGAATAAATTATGGGTAAGGTTAGGTTCAGGGGTGGAGATTCATATTTTTGGATAGTAATGTTGATCCAGGATCAACAAAAGATGTTGATCCATGGAACATGTCTTACTTGGCAAAATCACTGCAACCGTACTATAAAACGTACTGCAAATTGCATAACTCAAAACCTCCTTGTTAATATAAATACAGTTTTTATTGAAACTAAGATTTACTTCCAGTTATCTTTGATATGTAAGGACTCCTGTGCAGTGCGGAAACATTTATGCAATGGGAGTAGATCTAAATATAATGCTGCCACTCTCCAAAACCTTCACCCAGGGGCTCCATTATGCAAAAGTAGGCGACCGCCAAGGGCCCCCTAAAATGTTTTTCAAAGCAGTTGTGGCCTAATGGTTAGAGAGTCAGACTTGTAACCCGAAGGTTGCGGGTTCGAGTCTCAGGTCCGGCAGGAACTGTCGGTGGGGGGAGTGAATGACCAGCACTCTTTTCCACTTTCAATACAACGACTGAGGTGAGATCCTTGAGCAAGGTACCGAACCCCCAACTGCTCCCCGGGTGCTGCAGCAATATGGCTGCCCACTGCTCCGGGTGTGTGTCTATAGCAGGGATGGTGAACTCCAGTCCTGGAGAGCCGCTCAGCTCCAACCCTAATTAAAACTCCCCTGCCTGTAGCTTCCTAGTAACCCTTCAGGGCTTGTTTAGGTGTGTTTGATTAGGGTTGAAGCAAAACTCTGCAGGGCTGTGGCTCTCCAGGACCGACGTTCGCAACCCCTGGTCTATAGGCTTAGATCTCTGCCACAATTCTGCGCGCGAAAGATCATATTTTGAGCGCACAAAAGTGCATTTTGCACACACGCGATCTGAGTTTTTTGTAATGTTCGATTCGCAAAGGAAAAAGTATTTTGAGTGCACGAAAATCAATTTTGCGTTTAAAATACGTTTTTGGATGTGTGAAGACCTTCTCTTTTGTGCGTGCAACGTTTCACTAGCTTGTTCCCTTGATGCCTGCCCTCAGTGCTCTCTAAAGGCCAACGGCTCGCTTGCTCAACACAACCCAGCGTTACAATATGCCATAATTCCAGCCAATCAGAGACGATGCTGCTAAATTCTGATTGGCTGCCTTGACAACCAATCACAACATTCCTTGCATTACCTCGGCAGCAGAAGAGGAAAAATACAGTGCATGCATAATTATTATGCAAGTTGATATTCTGATCATATTTTTTTTCCAAGTACATTTTACCAATTCCAAACAACATCAATCTTAATAACTACTATTAATCTTGTATTTAATCACTTATAATCTATATATTATTGTTCATGAAGACTGGAAGTGAAAAACGCCTTATATTCAGGTGTGCATAATTATTAAGCAGGTTATCTTCTACAGATAAAATCTCGAGATGGACTAAAAATGAACACCCAAAACTTACTGCCAGATTCTGGAAGATAAATTCTTCAAACACTGGTAAAAGAGGATGTGGTGCTGGTCCTTCAAGAGTCACTCTCAACTTATCTGTCTATAAAGCCTATATATTTTTAAAAAATCAGTCTTCAAGTATTTTATTACACTTCAGTATGTGATTCTTATTAAGTAGGGGTCATTTTTTAGGATTCTATACTTCTCCTATGTCTCTGAGAACCTGACAGCTTGTACTTCTGGAGACTCCAGGTAGGCTGCAGTTCTGGAAAATGGTGGCGCTGGAGACTAAATGGTTCCTGGTGATTTCACACCTAATTCTTCACCTTAATTCCTAATTCTTCTGCGGTTAACATGCATCTTTTCCTCGCCACATGTTTTTGACTGACCCTGCTGACCCACTGAGCATTTTGCTGTCCAATGTTTATGCATTAACTTTGCAATTTCTAGTATTGTATTAGTTTTGAATATTTCTCATGGGTATTTAATAATTTTTGACTTTCAGTCTGAGTT